AGAGAGAGAGGGAGAGAGAGAGGGGGGGGGGGGAGAAAGAGAAAGACAAAGAGAAAGCCACAAAGAGAGGTGGGAAAAGGGAGGTATAGATAGATAGATGGATGGATGGATGGATGGATGGATGGGATGGATGGATGGATGGAGGATGGATGGACGGACGGATGGATGGATGGATGGATGGAAGGATGGATGTTTTAGAGAGAGAGAGAGAGAGAGAGAGAGGAGAGAAAGAGAGAGAGGAGAGAAAGAGAGGGGGGGGGGAGGAAGCAACATACCATTATTGACAGGGCAATCATTTCAGATTCCTTAGATTTTGAGAGCTTTTCAACAATCGATGTCTTTCGAACTCTGCCCTTGGGTATTTCTGAGGACAAACATGAACAATATTATTGTACACAATAAGGTAATAGAAAAGAGAACTTAGTCATTCAGTAACATGATGAAATAGCACCACGTCCCATCATACTCAATGTTTTTAAGTAAAATAGAGACAGTTACTAGAGGCAGAATTTTTATCGAAGATCTCCATCTTTCTGCTGGGATGTTGTATCCCTCTCAGCCCAGATTTGGTCGTAAATATTAATGATCTAAATGGATGCGAGTTTGTTTCTTTGTGTGTGTGTGTGTGTGTGTGTGTGTGTGTGTGTGTGTGTGTGTGTGTGTGTGTGTGTGTGTGTGTGTGTGTGTGTGTGTGTGCGTCTTTACAAAGGTATATGTATACACACGCTTTACAAATACAACTTTGTTCGAGAACGCTGAGGTGTGAAACTGTTAAAACAGTTGGCCATAATTTTGATTATTCTGAAGCTACAAGTATATTGTAGGCTGAAATAGCTAGTAGGCTACACACTAAATTTCGGAAATGATACAATATAAATGGGCCCCCAAATCTACCTTACCACACCAACAATTGTACTTCTCGTGCATACTCTATTATTACAACATTGACAGCAAACTGTAAGAAATTAGTGACTTGTTGAAGGCTCATTGGCTCTAGAATTGAAAATGATTTTGTGATCGAATCGGTTTGTGTCTGTGGAGGTGTAACAGCAGGTGTCTGCGAATGCCGGTATGAGCCTGCGTGTTTGTGAGTGTGTGTGTATGTGTGTGTGTGTGTGCGTGTGGGTGGGTGGGCGAGTGTGAGTGTGAGTGTGTGTGAGTGTGTATGTGTGTGTGTGTGTGTGTGTGTGCGTGTGTGTGAGTGTGTGTGTGTGTGTGTGTGTGTGGACTTACAGCGCAAATGACAAACAGGACAGAATTACGAAGAACACACCCACAAACTGCATGTATCAGAACGTGAGGTTAGGAAAAAGAGCCTGCTTTTTACAGTAAAAAATCTACGTAAACTATCCAATCAGTTCCTCTGAGAAAAAAAAGGCCACTGAATTTTTTGTCATCAGGGAAGATAAATAATATCTCCCCTATTTTGCTTTATTTCAATCGGTGACCATCTGCCCCCGGCGTGAGTGGGCTGTGTGTGAGGGTGTTAGTCACCTGTATTAGGTGTTCTCTGTTGGTTTGTTAGTTATGTTTTTGTCGTTTTTGATTGTTGCTGCGATGTTGCTTTGCTGATTGATCGATCGATTAATTGATTGATAGAATTGTTAGTTAATATATTAATTAATAAATAAGTTACTTTGATTGATTAATTATTTATTAATCTGTACATTTTTTCAGTTCTTTCGGATCTGTCGGGTTTTCAGGAAAAGGGAGGGGGGGGGGGGAAGCAGGAGCATCTTATTTAGAAGCGGGCACAGGCTTCAGGCTGAGGCAGCAGAGCCAAAGGGTAAAAGTTCGATTCCATGAGACGATGGAAGACCCGAGGAGTTTACAGAAGACCTTAAAAACATACGGAGTTAAGCACTACGGGAACAGCCTACATTTCACGGAGTACTTGATTGCAAGCATGTAAATAAGTAGCAGGTCTGCTTCCATTTGCCCAACCAAAGACGTTCTTGGGCGGAAGGTTTAGTGCACCCTCACTTTTCTGATACTGCTCAAACGAGGGAGCGTGAGAGGGGGCGTCCAGAAAGGGATCCGACGGCCAAGGAAGAGAAATGATCCACTGACAAAAATAGTAAGTGGTCTAAGAATCTTAGAAGGGAGTATTGGAACAAAATCATGATTTGAAACACGGAAACGACACCTCACAAACTGTCTTCTCCTTTGAGGAACAAACATAGATCGAACGTTTCGCTTGAAGCTTGCACCGCCTCTCACCAAATC